AAAAAAAAAAAAAAAAAACAGAAACCCGGGGTTAAATTTGACGTCTCAATGTCCCAGCAAAAGTTTTCTAGTCTCTATTACCTTTTCTTTACAACTGCTAAGCATTGAAACGATAGACAGACAGACAGATTGTACTGATAAAGCGGGTGACCAATCGTCTGTCAGTATCGAAAGACAGATGTGTCCATTACTATATACATGGGGATGAATTGGAATGTGATTACCGACGAATGTCACCTAAAATTTCATATAATTTATCGCAATTGTTCGCAGATATGACAGCAACAAAGTTGTATGCAGCTCTCATCCGGATGCTCCTCTTATTGAGGATTATCGAGCTGGAGACATGATTTGTTCTGAGTGTGGTTTAGTTGTTGGAGACAGGTTTGATGCTTTAATTACTAAAAAAGCGACCAAAAAACATGTACTTCTTTACTTTTAGAGTTATTGATGTAGGTTCAGAATGGCGTACATTCAGTAGTGAAAAATCTGGTGTGGATCCTTCGCGTGTTGGTGGACCAGAAAATCCTCTCTTAAATGGATCTGATTTGACCACAATGATTGGGCCAGGCAGAGGTACGTCTATTGTGGCTGTTAAAACAAAGGTTACATTTTTAAAGATTCTCTATATTGTAGGTGATGCTTCATTTGACGAATTTGGAATGGCCCGGTATCAGAACCGAAGAACAATGAGCAGCTCAGATAGAGCTCTCATTAATGCTTTCAAAGAGATTAATTCAATGGCAGACAGGATTAATTTACCCAGAACTATTGTTGATAGGGCAAATAATCTTTTTAAACAAGTCCATGATGGTAGAAATTTGAAAGGTTTGTTGTGTAAACTGTTGCATGGACTTTATTTTAATTTTGACTTTATCTAGGACGCTCTAACGATGCTATTGCCTCAGCCTGCCTTTACATTGCATGTAGGCAAGAAGGTGTTCCTCGTACATTTAAGGAAATTTGTGCTGTTAGTAAAATAAGTAAGAAAGAAATCGGAAGATGTTTCAAGTTAATTCTAAAAGCCTTGGAAACTTCAGTTGATCTCATAACAACAGGTGATTTCATGTCACGTTTCTGCTCCAATCTGGGACTTCCCAACATGGTACAAAGGGCTGCTACACATATTGCCAGAAAAGCTGTTGAATCTGATATTGTACCCGGTCGATCTCCCATTTCAGTTGCTGCAGCAGCAATTTACATGGCATCACAGGTATATAACACATTAGGGACGGCTTTTTTATATTATTAATGATTTACTATACTCTATGAAGTTCAGTATCAGTATTCAATAAATCAGATAATTTGATGATATCGCCGATTGTATCTTGATGCATTCTTGATGGGTACGAGACTCAAATAAATTCAGCAAGGTTTGTTGGGTTGTCTAAGTACTATACCCAGTTGTAGTCCGTGGTCTACCTATTTTTTTTTTCATAGTTCATTAATTACTTAATTTCCTGTACATTTTTAACGATTGAATTTTACTCGAGATATCCCATGTTTATTATTATTATTATTATTGTATTTATTTACCAATTTATATTTACATTGTACATAGTTAAATACGTTATTATTTTCGTTAGGCATCCGATGATAAAAAGAGTCAAAAGGAGATAGGTGATATAGCTGGAGTTGCCGATGTCACAATCAGACAGTCGTACAAGTTAATGTATCCACATGCCAGCAAGTTATTTCCTGAGGACTTCAAATTTGCTACACCAATCGAGCAATTACCAGTAATGTAAGGACAGTTTATTTTTTAAGTTTATTTTCTGTCAGTTGTTTATGGTAATTAATTAATTCGTATTTAGGGTAAACTTCAATACTGTAATTTCTATTTTTATTGAAGACATATTAATTACAGGAATAAGTCCATTTGTATAAAGACTTTTGCATAGGCTATAAAACTTTAGTTAGAAGTCAAATCATATTATTTGATTGAAACCTATCCCAGGGTTCCGCACATGTGCATATCACTAATAAGAGTCCTTGATTATATCTTCTAAAAAACTTTCCATATCTCGAATCTCTTCTTCATCTATAATTTCATCTGACTGATAATCATTGTTCTCATTTTCTGCAAATGATAGATTTAATTGTACATATGTACAAAAAGGTTGAAAGTTAGTCTTACCTTCGCCTGAAGAATCAGAATCATAAAGTCTACCCTCTTCCTCATCCATATCATCTTCTGTTTCTCTTAAATCGTTATTTATATCTGCTTGATCCTGCAAAGGACTTGTGCTATCAACGGCCTCTAATACATATTGATTTACAATTTCTCTGCACTGATTGGTAAAGTTTTCAGGCAACCAGCCATTTTTAGGATGACATTTTGCATCTGGAGGGACTTTGGGTAACTTCTCAAACATCAATTGTATTTCAGGCAATTGTAAATCGCAATACTAAAATATTTTTTAATAGATTAGGTTTTTTTGAATTGGTATCAATATAATATTGTACTTGGTACAGCGTTTGTCTAAATGCAGGAATAACACCTGGACGTAATATGTAATGATTTTCTGTGGGAACTTCGGCAGTTTTATTATCATCGAAAAGGTGGTCCTCCAAGCGGAATTTTTTTATATTTGTTAGGTCTCCGTGAAACCCGTAAGCTTTGGGTGTAGCTCTAGCACTTACTCTTGCTTTCAACCCAGCTGAAAAGATGAACGGTGTTAAATAATTAATTTCCTATACCATTTATTAGTTCTAAAATGTTACCAACTGCTCGAATCCGATAATCAAACGTTTGATAAATGCGCATATTCGGGTCTTTTCTGGGGTCACAACCAAATCGTACCCACATTATTCGCCACGGCCCTGTTACCATATGATATGCCACATGTGAAATTAAGTGTTTTAGTCTAGTTGAAGATATTTGTGTATGATGTTGGATTCCAGTTTTTGACCAAATTGGCCTGTCGGAAAACAGCTAAAGAAAGGAATATTTAATTATAATGTAATGATTCATTTCTGTATTATACTTACTTGTTTTATTTTTTCCAACTCGTCAGAAAGGTCTATCTTTACAATGGGGCACATTTCTAAGGGCGGTGGTTTACTTGGACATGATTGATCTTCAAATTTCATAAAAACTGTGTGGGTAGTTCTAGACTTTCTTGTATTTGTTACTATATGTTTGCCTTCTTCTTCAAGAGCATTTTTTCTCTTTGGCAAATACCTATTTGCGATTTCAGGTCTAGAGCTTTTCTTGAACACTTCAGATCTATCATATCTTATATCAATTGGGCGAGAATGTCTTGAAAATACCCCCGGTGGAAAAAAAAGGGGGAGGTTTTTTGCATCATCAGACCTGCAGCATATTTTAATGTTACATATTAATTCAAATTTTGATCGATAATATTACATTAAATAGGATAAACTTGGTAATGTCTTAGGAAAAATGCTATTATGAATATTTATCAACTGAGAACTGGATGACTCCTTTTCATCTTTTGGTATTAAGGGCAAATACTGAAAATCGCACATTCCTAGAATATAAAAGGTTCAATGGAAAATTGTGCTTATTATAATTGCAAAACTTTCTTTTAAATTTGACGGTCATAGCCGTCACCCCTACTACATCGTACTCATAAATTGGAGCACAATTTTCTTTAAGCTCTTGAGAAGTTAAATTAACTTTGGGCTGGCGGATCTTTATTTTGACTAATATTCCCGGTTTTTTTTCTTTATCTCCATAACAAGATTTACTGTACATATCATCTGGTCTAAACTTCAATTCGATGTACTTTTTTCTTGTGCCAACTTCCTGTGATTACAATTTTAGATATAAAGGTAGTAAGAATACTTCAGTATAATATAAATCACAAACCATTTCTAACGTGTTTAAGCCTCCTAAAGTTTCCAACATTTTGTCTACATTGTTAACAATACCAGGATATTCTATGCACATCAGTTTTCTCGAAAAGTCATGAAAATGCTCATGTACTGTTGAACCACCTTCTTTATTTGGATTAGTATTATCATCAACTATTTTCAATTTAAACATTTTCACAGTTTTCTGAATCTCCTTTAGAATTTTCTCTTATACTTGTTGTTTTGTTTCATTATCTTAGGTTATATCCAGCTATTTCCATAGATTATTGTTATGTATGTCAAACATAATAATTTCCGTAAGTTTCATGGCATATTGGTAAGCGGTGTCCATCCATAGACAGTGTATGGCTAAATAATCATTCTTAAATGAAGAATAATAAACAATTTAATAAGTATTGTCTATGATAAGTATGTAATAAGTATAATCTATGGTAATACGTTGTCTATGGTAATAAGCTGTCTATGGTAATAAGTCTAATAAGTGAAATGTCAAAGTAAATAGGTTTTTCTGCTTTCTGCTAAGTTTTAGTGGGTAGTTTGTAAATAAATCACTATTTTTGTTATGTCTGACGTTACTAAAGCTCAAAAATTAGCTGCAGCTAGAAAAAAGGTAAATAATTTCATTCCATTTAATAACGTGTTAACGACTAATATACAGAAGGCAGAATGGACACATCATCGTTTTCATTTCAATTGCAACATTTTAGTATAAGGTACACTAATTAACGTATTATTTCAGCTAAAGGAATTTAAGCAAAAGCATAAAGGCGATATTAAGGAAAAAGAAACTGAAAAAGGCATTGAAATTTGTGAAAGTTTAGGAAGTTCTACCCATAGCTCTTTAAATGGAAGTATTTTAGACACAGGGATACATCCAAAGGAGTTTTTCAATGTGGAAGGCAGTCATAATAACGTGGAAAACAACAAGGATACATTGATTCCAACCTTAAGTAGTTGTAATTATGCTGAAGGTGAAAGTAAAAAATTACCATATGAAATACAAAATGAAGATAATGTTACTGAATTTCAACATTTTAATTTAATCAGCTTTCCCCAGACACATCCAAGTATATTTGACGATTCGATTAAGTGAGTTGGTTTTGAGAATAATATATTTTAAATAAGTTATTTAATGAAGCATTTTAAATTGGTATTTATATTTTTATTTTCTGTGTTAATGTTACTTTGCTTAGGAAATTAATATTTGTCTATTTTTCCAGTATGACTATGCAATCACAACAGATTGTTAATAATTCAGAGGAATTGAATATTATACAATTACAACCAGACAAATTACAAAATCTTGAAACTGTAGCTGCAGAAAATGTCAATCAGGTAAATGCTGAAAAAATGCATTTGTCTGGTACTGAAAGTTTAAAACAACTATCATCTCAGATAAATAACTTGATAAAAGAGAGTGACAGTTACTCACAAGCTGATATTGTTTGCAATAGTCTGTCTGGCTTGGAGAAACGTAATCAGGAATTAGCTGCTCAGCTACAAGAAATTCAGATAGAGAAGGAAACCTTAAAGACTCAAATTGAAGAGAGAGAAATAAGAATACGCAATTTAATAGCAGAAAATGAAAATAGTAAGTATTTCATAATGATAATATTCCTATGAAAAGTCTATCATAAGATTTACAATATGTTGTGAAAAAAGCATAATAAATTGTATATCAGAAATGTGGACAAATCAGGATGTTAAACAACAATTATGTTATTATTTCTTCGACGTTTCGACTCCTTTATTAACTCTACATCAGGTATCTGGAAAAACATAATGTTTTATATTCGTTTAAGGTAAAATTGAACTTCAAACAAAATTAAATAGAGAACTAGGTCCTCTAAAAGAACAGCTCCAAACACATGCACAAACCTTAGGAATTCTGGTTGCAGAAAAAACGGAACTTTCTACGTCTTTATCTCAATCACAGCTGACCTTAAAACAAAAAATTGCAGAATGTGAAGAATTACAAGGAAGGTTAAGAACTTCGCGAGGCCGTGTTGCTGATTTGGAAAAGGAGCTCAATTTTTTTCGACAAGAAAAGGCAAAAATGGAACACCTCATTAATTCAGATGAGATGGAAGGAAGGAACAAAGAACTAAGTATCCTAAAGGAAAGATTGAATGAAGTAAATCAGGATCTTTTGGAAATTAAGGAGAAATATAACTCGAAAAGCGAAGAAAACAGATATCTACAAAATCAAATTCAAGATCTCTCGCATCAGTTGTCTTTAGCGCAACTGAGACTTCAACAAGTCACCGCTGGTGAAAAACATCAGAATGATGTAGAAATTGAAGCTCTCGCTCAGGAAAAAATTCAACTTGAAAAACGAGTAAGTTTTTATTTTTCATTAACAACTATAAACCGTTGTTTAAAATAACTATTACGACAATTTAACAGGTAAAGGAACTGAGCGAGTCTTTAGCAGCAACAACAGCCGAACGCGATCAGTCGAGTGTGCATTATCAGCATTATACAGAACAACTTAATGAACAAGTCAATAATTTGGCATCTCGATTACAAAATTTGACCCAAGAAAACGAACGACTTTCCTCCCGGGAACAAGAACTGGTCCGTCACATTGGGGAATTAGAAAAGAGATTACAGAATCTACAGGACGAACGTTTAAATGAAATTTCTTGCAGTAACGGTAGCACCGTTGTTACCGATGAAAATGTGTTGATGGATTTACAACAACTACGACATGATAAACAAATTCTCTCAGACAAGTGTCAACAGCTGTTGGAAGATAAAAGACTGTTAGAAGAAGAAATACACTTTCACGAAGAGAAAGAGCGAGATTTTTCCGAGCAGTTGGAACAAGCCCGGGAGAACAGGCCCGATTTATCCAAATTAATGGCTTCCATCGAGAGCGATAAAGTTGCCGCTGCAAGAGCCGTATCTCAAAATGCAGAGCTGAAAGCTCAACTAGAAGAAATGCAACAAGCATTCATCAAAGCCGTAAGTTGCTGATTAACAATAAATAATTTATCCCGTTAATTTTTCCACTTACAGAGTAATGATAAAATGGAATTGATGGAAAAACTAACTTCTTCAAAATATGAAATTACTGAGTTACAAGAAAAATGTGAATATTTGGAGAGTCAACTTCAGAAACTGGACAACGCACTCGTTATAAAAGATCAAGAACTTCTTAAAGAAAGAGAAAATGTAGAAAATCTTAACAAACAACTATTCCAATACGACCAATTGAATGATCGATTAAGGCATTACGAAGCCAAAAATAGCGGTCTTGAAATGCTGCAAAACGAAATGTTACAGACCAGACAGCAGTTACAAACTCTACAAGCCGAAAATTTACATTTAAAAGAGCTTATTCGATCGAGTCAACACACTGCACTAGAACAAATAAACGAAATCGAATATAACAAATTAGTAGAAACTAACAATATAATTAATAATGAAGCCGTTAAAAATGAAAAAGTGAAAAAACAAGAGATATTAATTATAGACAGAGATGATAACAAGAAAGAAACAAGCGACGACCAACTTTTATCGAAATATTTAAGTGATATAGAGGAATTAAAACAAAAGAACAAAGAACTTGAGTTGCAGGTAAACCGGTAAAAATATTTCTTTTTATAATGAACAGGCCACAGCCCACAATACAAAACGAATAAAAAAGTAACAATATAGAGAAACATGGTGTAATTGACATTATTGTTTGTAGGTATACAGGACGAGCAAAGACAAATTATCCGAAGTAAATGATAACAACAATGATTCATACTTCGGAAGCAGTGAAGTAATGTTAAACAAAGAAGAAGCAATGAAACATTTGGAAGAAAAGTTTCTTCAGACCATGGAGGAGGTGGCGAATTTGACGGAAGAAAAACATCGTTTGGAGCATCTGGTTACCCAACTACAGAGCGAAACTGAAACCATTGGAGAGTATGTTACACTCTATCAACATCAGAGGGCCATTTTACAACAAAGAACTCTCGAGAAGGACGAACAGCTAAAGAAATTGCAAGAAGATCGAACCGAGGTGAGTACTTTTAAAGGATATATTTTTATATATTAGGTGCAAAGGTAAAAATGAATGTATAGCAACGAATTTGTGGGACAGCTTATAGTATTTCGGATCACTATAATTGCACCCGAAATTTCTTATAGGTCAAATCGAAATTAGAATTGCTCAATTTGCTCGTTAAAAAGTTGATCGAGGAGAAAGGAACGACAGTAACCTCCGAACTTCTCCGTCAACAGCATAAAGCGAACGACAACAAACTGTTATGTTCCGAACACGCCTACATACAAGAAGAAATAAATAAAATTAGAGCGGAAAATAAGCTAGACAGTTCGAACGATTCGATTGAAAGTGTTGATCACGGCGGCAATTCGACTGCTCAACAGATAATTTCATTACTATCGGAAATTAAAACGAGCAGCCTGGTACAATCGCCAGATATGATTGATAATTTTCATCCCTGTGGATGGTGTTCGGGTCAACTAATAACAATATAGTTAAAAAAGAACCGCTAGCCTTTATAATACTAATTGATGCTTTAATAATTTCAGTTAATACATTAAATGATGATTAAATACATAGGTATGGTCTTAAAAAAAAAAAAAGAAAAAACAAACAATGGCACATGTGATATACATTTCAATTTTTACAAACAAGTTTTAAAAGCTATGTACTTACGCTGTTGGTGTTGAATAAAACGTTCACCTTGAATATAATGCCGTTTTTAACCTGATCAATAAATAGTCCTGGTCTTCTTCATACGATTTTATCGCTCTCAGTTCATAATTATCATTATAGTCATACCTTTTTTGCATACCAATTACACAGTTGTTCTTATAACCTCGTCCTTTATTTAACTAATTAGAAAATACCGATATATAAGTATATACTACTTTTTATATGCATTATATTTTCTAATATTCCACTTATTAATTTTTTAAAGTTTACTCTAGTTAATGCATAAAAATATATATATATAATACCAGATGTGTAACTGTAATACGGCTGAGTTACAAATCATTTTTATTCTGTATTAGCCTAGGTGTTATTCAATGGAAACAATAACATCAGACATTTAAGTAAAGAAACAATAACCGTGAATATTCTACTTAAAAATAAGATATATAGTGGAATGTCAAAATGCGTAGTTTCTTCCAACTAATTTTCTTATACATATATTTATGTGAAAAACATTTTAACCCCAGACTCTAACATTCTGGTCCCAGCTGCTGGTAACGACAGCTATACCATTTGGGGCAACCGTGAGAGATGTCACTCTGTTTTCGTGTCCCGGCAAGCAACCTGCATAAGAGACGATACGTAACAGATTGATAATAGAACAAGATGAAAATTCCTAATTTTTTTAACTTTACCATTGTGTTGATTTTTTAACGTATCCCATATGTGTATATTGTTGTCATCGGAACCGCAGAGCAAAAATCGGCCACTAAGGGACAAACCGCAGCTCGTGAAGCCGCTCGATTTGTTCGGGGGTTCGTACAGGGCCATTTGCTGATCACTTCTTATGTCGAACAGTCTTGCGGATTTGTCTTCGGACCCAGTACAAAAAGCTTGAGCGCTCGGGTGAAACTGCGGAAATAAATAAAGAGCTCCTTTATATTTAGAAAGATACTTGCAAAACTGGCAACGTACACAAACCGAATTGACATCAGCTTCGTGTCCGAAAAATGTTTGTTTCGGTTTTTCTTCTCTTATATCCCACAACCGACAAGTTTTGTCTACACTTCCCGTAACGTACATGTTGTTTTCCGGCGATAAACTTATGGACACGACGTCCCCATTATGTCCCGGGAAGTCAGCGGTTTTTTTACCCGATTCCAAATCCCACATACAACTTAAAAATTAAATATGTACAATTATTTATTTTTAATGTCATTTGCCTTATGTTTAATTAAAATTGACATACATTTTCATATCTCCTGATCCGGTAATTAAGGTCTTGTCGTCTAAAAATCTACACGAACTTAAAAATCCTTCGTACCCAGCCAATTCTCTTGTCATTTTTGCTACCCCAGTTGCGTCCCTATTATTAACATCATAAACTGTGCACATGTTATCCATACCGCCGCATGCTACAAATGAAAAATTTTCATGTGTAATATGTACAGTAGAAAATTTTTAATTGAATAAATAAAATTACCAACGAAATTTCCGGACGGTGAGAACGCCACACTCATTACCCACGACGAGCGCAGTGGCACAATTTGTACTTTATTACCAGTATAAGTGTCCCAAATTATTAGTTTTCCGTCTAGCGATCCACTTACGCAATGCCTGCTGTCTCCACTATAATGTACCGAATTTACTTTGTTTAAATGACCTTTCATCAGCTTTTTTGTCGTTAATTTAACTTTAGGAGCATCTGCTACCCCACTACAAGTTTCTTCCAATTTTACATCTGCTGCTCCCTGTTGAGCTTCCTGAAGTGTATTATATATTAATTACAAATTTCAAAAGTTAATTTTTATTTTCTATAACTAGAAATTTATCTGCTTGTCCTCTGCCTGAATTTTGAATTTGTAGTACTACAAATATTACCTTCAATTTTTCATACAATTCTTCTAACTCTTTTCTCAATGCTTGAGTTTCAGAATCGCCCTTGGGAGGCATCTTACTTTTAATTTTTCCAGACTTGCTAATATACTTCTTTGAAAATTCAAGCGAAGACTAAAAGCAGTCGAAGTAACGGTATTTTTAATCCAGTTTGCTAATTTAATAAACACGTGTTATCCTGTGTAGTTAAGCTGCTTTGTAGCCTTAGAAAAACCGATAATATATTGATTTGTCTTGGTATACTGTTACAATTACGTTTTCAGTTTAAAATTTAATTTAGGAATATCAAAGAAAACGAAAATTAGGCGGCTATGATTTTCAGACCAGTGTTAAGAAAGAAAATTATCTATAATCTAAATTTAATTAAAAGGAAATGAGGCACATTTTAACATAAAATTTTACGAGAGAATACGTTACTGCTAAACACATTTGCAGAAAATGTTTTAAATTAAATGAAAAAGATTCTTTTAACTCTTTTATAACTTTTAATTTATTTAATTTGCATACTTGCAGCAAATTAACATTACAAAGTTTTTTGTACTATCAACTTTATTAAACCTAGTAGCTAATTTTGCATAAAAGTCCGAGCTTTTATGGCATAAAAGTCCGTAGATTAATAACAGTTTGTGTTAGTTGGTAAAAAGATTGGTTGGTTACTACTGTTAGTTACGTTGGTTATCCTGTTATAACCTCTATAACTATGCCATAGAAAAGACTATGCTCTATGAGCTCTATGTATAACCTATAACCGAAGGAAGAATATATGTGAATATATGTTATTAAAAAGGCAATAATATTTATTTTGTGCGGTTGTTGTAACGTTTTTTTGTGGAAAGTTTCGTGATGGAAACCGAAAATAAAGAAAATATTGATGAAGCAGAAGAGAAAAGTCCTTCTTTTAAACCATGGCATGTTCTATATGCTGTAGACACTGATGCATCGATGTTTATTAGAGGAAATGATTCAAAGACTCCATTCCAAAAGTGTCTTAAAGCGTTACTGTATCTTGCTGACTCCTCTCTGTTATTGACACCTCGTACGATGAAATCCCCACTTGGTGTTTTTCTATCAGAAAATGATATCAGAAAAGCAAAATTGATAGGCTTTGACCAAAGCATGCCTGAAAATGTAAAATTTCTAAAATCATTGATAGAAAAGGCAACAGATGAACTTCAACAACTTTATGAACGTCCTGGATATTTTGATTTTGGTGATTTCTTATTATTCTGTAAACATCAACTGGATCAGCTTAAAACGGACCCATTCAAAACTACAATTGTTTATATAACAAATGTTAGCAATCCTGTAAATGATGATGAGCAACTTAAAATTAAAGTATTCAATACTGTGAGAAATTTAGAAGAGCAGAAAGTCTTTTTAAAAATAATTACAATGAATCCTTTCTTTGATGTAGATGATTTTTATGCAGGTGAGCTCCAAGCAATTTTTATATTTTACATGGTTAATTTGTAAATTTTCATTTCCTAGAACTGCTTAATGGATTGGAGATTCAAAAAATTCAATATGTAGAATCTGACAGTGATCTTGAGGAATTACTTGCTTCACTAATTAAAATTAAAACTGTAAAAATTTCCTATAAGTTGTATCCATTTCCTGGAAATGAAAAGAAATATTTCAATCTTTCCAGTATTTCATATGTAAGAGACAATGAAATTAAAAATAATGTATCAGTAACCAAAACTGACCATGCACAAGTGAAAAAAATGTTCCATCACACAAAGGAAATTCCTCCCTATGTCACTGTCTTAAACCCTGGAAATAAAGGGCTGTCTCCTTCTGTTGAATTTACTAAAAAGGAGGCAGATGCACTACTTAAAACAAATAATTTGCCAGTTGGCTTAACATTGTTGTATACTTGTGAAAAAATTAGCAACCCTTACTGGTTCATTAAGCCAGTCACCATATTTCAACACAACAAAATGGAAACAAATCAGTATTATATTTACCTGTGGAACAGTCTTGTTAAGTTAGAACTGGTAATGATATGCTACTTTAAAAAAAGAGATAATGGAAAGGTACATTTTGTTGAGTTAGAGCCAAAATTAGTAGACAACATCCAGTCATTTCTTTGCAAGTATCTACCTAATGCTGAAGAAATTAAGGCACACGAACCATTAGATTCTGTGGATATTCCAAAACTGGCTGAACAAAGCATGAAAGACATAATTGAAAAATTATCATTTGATTATGATCCAAAGTTATTCAGAAATCAAATATATGAAAAAAAGGAAAAATATATAAAGAGTCAGCTGCTTGAAGAAGATTTTGTAGTGGATAAGCAGATGGAAAATGAGGCATTAAAGTCAAGTAAAAGAATTGATGAACACATCAAGGAAGAGACTGAAGTTCTAAACAACCTTTTCAAGAAAGGAACTAAAAGGAAGAACTGAATATGTAAACCATTCTTGTGTTAAAAAATATTTTGTACTTTAGTTTGTTTTTTACTTATAAACCATTGAAATCTTAATAATGAAGATATTATTCCTTAATACAATTAAAAAACCTAAATTTCTTACTTATTAAATCAGCCGAATGTAATAAAATCCCTCTGTTTTTGTAAAACACCAGTGAAAAGAATTTTATAGTTGAAATTTACCGGGGTGCACTTTCAACCACCAACTTCGTGATCTATACATACAGCTGCAGAAAGAACAAATGAAATAATTTTATAGAACCAGAAAATATTGATGAACGAAAACACTGATTTTGTTGCATACAACTGAATTATTTTACAAAATCAATTTTATTTATACTAAACGAAAAACATTATTCACAAAATCGATCATTATGCTTAAACAACTTTACTTTCCTAGATTATCAAATATGGCAGAGCGTTACTCTAAAAATTTAACTAATGAGAATCGTGAAAATAATGCGATACATGGGCAGCATTATGCAGTTAATTTTGGGCTGACTAGAGTAAACAACGTGAAATTTATTTGGAAACCATTAAACAGCTCATTTTTCGTGAGTTTGGCTTGCTCTTCACAGTTGTAAAACTTTGGAACGTTGCATTCTACAGTTAATTAAGGTGGTAATACATGTTTATTTTAATAATTATTTATCTATTGTCAATAAGATGCTCATCTATAATTATTTCACATTTATCTGCGTTGTGATGTAAAGTGCGTTAATCGTCATTTTATAATTCACTGATTTTACTTGCTTTTTGATGCAAGTTTTATTGTTTATTGTATTTCATATCTTATTTACATGATAGTGTAATTAATTAGAACTTTCTTTTAGGCGTTTAATGCCTTCCGTTATTAATAGTGTAATTAATATGTTTCTTGTTCATTTCTGCAGATTATTCAACAAATGGGATAGAAATAAAGTTCAGTTTGGTCCTACTGAAACAACCAATGTCTACATGGGCATCATCTTTCCTGGGCTGTATTCTTGATTAGCTGTTTACATCTTTGCCTTACAACATTATGAAGTTAATTTTCAATCGATGCGTGAGAGCAACTGGAGATTAATTTGAAATCCACGAAAACAAAACATTTTTTGCGATGGTATTATTGCTGGATTTATTTTGCTTTTCACACCTGCAAAGTTTTGAACGTTACAGTCTACAGTTAATTAAGGTGAGAATACTCGATAGTATGTAGTATAGTATAAAAAAATGGCATATAAACTATCTAAACGTATATTTTGACTTTAATTTGAACTTTTGAGTCAGAAGAAATGTGATAAGGATTAAATATCGTAACAGATGCTTATTTCGCTTATTAATAAATCATACATTGTGTGTCTATTATTTTAGCAGTCACATATTATCGACTAAAAGTAATTAATTATTTTTTTTATCTATTTCTACAGATTGGCTAACAAATGAGAGAAAATGAGGAAGTGAATTTTGACTGGATGTCTGCGCTGGTGTCCTTTTAGAATTTGGAATGCTTTTCACACATATTAACCACAGAACGTTACATTCTACAGATAATTCAGGTAAGTTATTAAGTTAATAATTTAATTAATTACACGTTATCATACTATTGCCAATTTGGTTAATAAAAGACGCCCTGGGACATAATGCATAGGATGACGAGCGTATGTTACTTCTTTGTACAATAACGTTAGATTGTCCATCGTTTTGCTGGGACTGTAGGTAATTGCAGACTTCAATTTATCGAAATTTTTTCTAAAAACGCCTGGTTGGCGTTTATAGCCCCATTACGTTTTGCTGATTTTGTCACAAAAAGTCACAGAGAACATCGATTTGCACTTCCAGCTCCCAATTTAAAAACGTTTTTATTTCTTCATTATTAATTTTTTAAAAGACGAATGTTTAATAAGTAGTCAGAACTGCTCCTGCAGTCTGACACTCAGAATACACTGCAGTGAAGTGGGTTGCCTATGTCAAGGACCAATGATCGCCAACAATATTTCAAACAATTTATATTTTAAATAGAAATTATGACGGTACTTTCGCNTGAACGCCTAGTCTTTAATTAGTAAAGAAAGTCAGAACTGCTCCTGCAGCCTGACGCTCCGAATACACTGCAGTGAAGTGGGTTGCCTATGTCAAGGGCCAGCGGACGCCAGCAATATTTGAAACAATTTGTATTTTAAATAGAAATTATGACGGTACTTTCGCGCGAAATTAAACGAGTGCGCTGTAGTCTAGATAAACATGGAAATGTTACAGCGCTAATCGAAATTTGTGAGCAACTAAATTTTTGGATTTTAATAAAACAGTGTAAATATATTTGGTACATAAGAAGTCTATGAAAATAATTATGATTTTACAACGCAACGCTGTTATTTAATTAATAAATTTTTATCAGTTTGTTGTGTATATTTCTCTAATATGGGCATTTTTTAACTTGTATTCTGTACATTACAATTTTTTATAGGATTTTTGATAGAGAAAGGTGATATGCTAAATATGCAGGCAAAAAACTGTTAGCGAGTTATACCTATAGGTACATATGTTATAAGCCCAGATAAAGGAAGTATTTAAAAAAAAAATATTGAGGAACGTTACAATACACATACGGTGTAAGATCTAGTGTACCGCTAGAGTGAAAAGTATATATTATGACGAAGCTTTTATATTGCAAAATAAGCAAAGCTTATTATGATCTTTTATCCCCGTATTACATATCTAACACATGCACATAATGCAGTGTCAATTAATTTCATTTAAGGAATACCAGAAAATGACTGTCTACTATGTCATCTTTTGGTACAAAATAACTACAGACGAGAGACTAATAATTTTATAAAAGATTCAAATTCTGAGTAACTAAAATGGACAGATTTTAAAATTGTGTGCATCCGTATATTCTACATCAAGGCAATTAATAATTCGGGAACAAGAAAATCAAACCACAGAAACTGTTTATTAATTTATCAAAAAACTTTAATTGTGCTCAAATTTTTTATAATTAACGATAAGTTACTTCTAAAATGTTAAACTGCATTTACCTAGTTTCTTAATTTCATTCGTTTAATGTTTAAAGAATTCAATTTCTTGTTCGTTTGGTCAAATTTTATTATACCAAAAGAATGCGATAAGCCCACAAGTCAACATTATCGTGAAGTTGTGTACCTGCGTATATTTTTATAATAGTTTAGACTATTTTTGTTTTGATGTTGGTCGTGTTCTTTTTATTTAATCGTGTATTTGCGTTGTCAAAGTATGAAATTCGAAGAAATTTAACATTTTTGTCATAATGTGGAGTTTGAGATCCCTAAATCGATGAGTTGGTTGACGATAATAAGTTAAGTTTGTCTAGAATTAGTTTTATTTGAAAAAATTATGATGAGCGTATAAAGATGTAATAAAGTAATAATAGTAACGGAGATAGATGCTTCTTTATCAAAGATAGCAATTGATTAAAAAGATGACTAATGTACTCCTTTTTTAAGTGCATATAGTAACAACGCAATGAATTTTTAATCTTCTGTCTAAACATTGAGGAATTATCCGAGCTTTCAGTTATAAAGTCCTTGTAAAAAAGTCATGCACATTCTTTTCCATAAGAAAGGGAAAACTAGCTGTAATTTTGAATTATCTCAAATGAAAATTAAAATTTCCCACCCTCATGCCAACGAAAGATGATGTCAATTTTTCACAACGGTTTTATAACTAAAACTTCTTACGTTCCTATATAATATGAACAATAAGTACATTCTAACTGTTTTTTTCTTTTCTTATATGAGCAGTAGTCTATATCATCTAAGCCATCTTTTCGTTTTCTTTAAACACCTGAATGAAATTAGTTGACTGCATTATGTATACGTATGCAAAGTACACATTATGTCATCTTTTGGTACAAAATAACTACAAATTGTAGTTAATTAGTTACCTAATAACTTTATAAAAGCTTAAAATTCTGAATAATTAACATACATCAAGGTTATTATTAATTCGGACATGGGAGAATTAAACCACAGAAACTGTTTGTTAATATTACTATATCTAATTACTGGAAAAACTTTAATTGCGTGCAATTTTTTTAAAAATAACAATAAGGTAGTTCTAAAATGTTATACTGCAATTAGCTAGTTTCTTAATTTCGTTCGTTTAATGTTTAAAATTCAACTTGTCCGTTTGGTCGAATTTTATTATATCCAAATGTGCATATATCTTTAAGAGTTGTGATCAGGCGATGGAACTCTCACGAAGCAAAAACGCAGATAAATTGAATTCTGTAAAACGGGGATGAAACTAAGCACGCGATTGGTTACAGCGTCGCAGACATCTAATTTAACGCATCTGATTGGCGTTTGTCTACGTCATCAGTGCTTCATGTGGTAGCAATCGCAATTTCGCGACAAGCCTGAGAGGCGTTTGGCACATCATAAGTTCATAAAGTTTCGAGGTGGAAGGACGTGCTTTCGCGTCTCTTAAATTCAACTTATCCAGCTAATTTTTTCGCAAAATTACTTTTAATTTATTCTACGTCTGAAAGGTTAGTTTGATTGATTCATATTCTATTATTATTCTCCGTATTTGCCCACAACAAATTGACAAAATATTAATTGCTCTTTATTGATCTGTTTGCCACCGTATCTGTTTCAGATCGACGTTGGAGAAGACAAAGATGACCCAGTAGTTGAAATAGTTCTTTGGCTTGATTGATTCATATTCTATTATTATTCTTCGTATTTGCCCACAGCATAAATTAAATTGACAAAACTTTTAAAGTTTATATCTTGACACAGACATCAGGTGGCCACGTCGCCATTTTTAATGTTTTGTTATTTTATTGGTTTTTGACTGGTTTTTTATTACGTGTTTTTGTTTTACTTCATGTTTCATTTATTTAATACGAGTGTTTAATTCTTTTTTTTTTTCCATTTTCCGCATATATTTTGACCTTTATTTGAGAGAAAGGTAGAAAAGAAAAGGATTAAATATTTAAGTTTTCTGCGTTACAGATATGTACCAAATTAATTAGTTAATAATTGTTTTTGTCGGTTTACACAGATTGGCCAACAATTGAGAGAGATTGGAACTGACATCTTTGCTTACTGAAAAGATAAGTCGTCTCCTATGGCGTTGTAGCTGTTAACCTTTCATCATGGAGGCTCTTGTAGTTAATTAAGGTGAGCATGTATACTATACTTTCTGTATGTTGTGTATTTATTTGATATTAACAAAGAAAAAGATTCAGCATTACTTTAACAATGTATCGTGCACATTACTTACTTAATACTTAATTAGTTATATCTGAACACTTTTTCATAAGATTTCATTTAACAGGAACATTAGAAGAACTCCGGATACCTTTAAATTATGAAATTATGGAGCATTGGTTGAATTAGTTCTCATTTGCCCTGCAAAGTAGCTGTGCCCATGGTTCTAAAGAAAGCATGAAAGTGCCTTTTTTTCATTGGGAACGAAGACAGTGTGCTGAAAAAGGATTTATGACAATGAAGTGGTATGTAACAGTATCAGTTAAAAATAGTAAATGATGTATTTAGATAACTTCAATTTCTTAGACATTTGTAATTTGCTTCAATAGACAACTTTTAAACAACGTTTCAGAAATGGCAGAAGCAGAATTAATGTGGAACAGATCTTTCCATTAGTGTGCATGTTACTGATTTATAGTGGTTTATTTTATTTAAAAATGGTAATTAATTACTTTTTCTTGCCTGTTTCTATATAGATTGTTGTCCCACAAATGAGAAGGAATTGCAGTTAATTTTGGTGCTACTAAAACAACCGATGCTTTTGACGTTGTAACATTATGCAGTTAATTTTTACCGTGACTATGGGAGGCAATTGGAAATTAATTAATTTGGATGCAACCGGAACAACAAATTATCTGCAGTGGTATCCCTCCTAGATTTGGTTGGTTTGCTGATCACACTGGCAGACTTTAGAACGCCACTTTCTACAATTAATTGAGGTGAGAATACATGACTTGATCAATATTAATTACTCTTTATTAATCTGTTGTGGAATTTCTGTTAGCTATTGTCAACAGTATAAATTGAGGTTATTGTGCATCTATATCACTTGACAGTTTTTATTTTCCACAGAATAAATTGATATTTATCATTGATGTATCCATAGACATATATTATGGATTTATCTATGAAGTTTATCTATCTATGGATTTTCTTTTTAACCTTTATCTGTTGTCTATGTCGTAAATTGACGTCGTGTTATTTGACATTAGTCTATGTCGTGATCTATGGTTGTGATGTAAAATGGCGTAAAATTGTTGTTTGTTTATTTTATAATTCAGCTATTTTACTTGCTTTTTGGTGCGTTTTTATTTGTGTTGCTTAATTATAAGTGTAGTTAATATGTTTTTTTGTCCATTTCTGCAGGTTATACAATAAATGAGAGAGAATTAATGTTCAGTTTGGTTATACTGAAACAGCCCATGTCTACATGGATGTGGTCTTTCCTGGATTATATTCTTGATTTGCTGTTTCGTCTTCGCCTTGTAACATCATGCAGTTAATTTCCAACCCATGAGTGAGTGCAACTGGACATTTATTTGAATTCCACTGAAATGAGAAATTCTCTGCTACGGGGTTCTTACTGGAGTTGGTTTACTTTTCACACCTGTAAACTTTGGAATGTTACCTTTTATAATTAATTAAGGTGAGGATACTTGATATACTTAATTTCAATTTCTCTTTATTAATCTGTTTGCCACCGTATCTGTTTCAGATCGACGTTGGAGAAGACAAAGATGACCCAGTAGTTGAAATAGTTCTTTATCTTACATGTTCTATCTAGTAGAATTCATTAAGTTCGTTTTATTCAAATTAATTTTTTATTTTGCATGTTTTTTTTGTTTTTGTAGTTGTAGTTTCTTATAGTTTATTTGATTTGGTTTTTATTTTGCATGCTTATTTTTGTTAATTTTGTTTGAAGTAATTGTTGATTGTAAATGTTTTTATTTTTTTTTGTTTGTAGTAGTAGTGTAGTAGTAGCACTAACTTGTTTAGTAGTTGTAGTGTAGTCTAACATGTCTCTTGCTTACCTCTTCGCTTAGCTTACTGCATATTCTTACTAATTTGCTTTGCATTTACCCTACGAGTTCTACATGATTCAATGTTTCGTTATCGTGTGTCTTCCTTCTCACCCTTGTGGACTTAGGGAGGGCCTCCCCGAACGACTTCCCTTGGGCTTAGCTATTTAGTTGATCTTAAAAGTGTCTTATACACTTTTCGCGAGTCTACTCTAGCGTTACTTCCTTTCAGACAGGGTACAGTGGGTTATCTGGAATAGGAGCAATAGGCGACTGCCCAGCTTGCCTTGGCGAAATCTGTCCGATCTTCTCTACCAAAGCTATTAGTATTTGTCGTTAGTCCTTGTAATTGCACTATTCGCTTTCAGGTAACCGAAGAAGACTGAAGACATCGTATTGTTTGCTTTTTATTGTATTTTCTTTGAAATTTCGTGTGTTTTCTGGTCTTTCTCTTACAGGTATTTTGTTTTTTACTGCATAAACTGTTATATCTTTATAATCATAACTTAGGTTGATATTTAAAATGTTTCTAAATTGATTTTTTGGTGTAATTGTTAAATTAAATTAATTATTTGTTTACGCTTTCAAAATTAATGTTCGTTTTGGGCGGATAGGGTGGCTATAAGGGGAGATGCGGAGGCCACAGAAGGTTAGGGAGGCTTTTTTCTCCCTAATCTTGCATTTAAATAATAATGGTATGACAGTTTATGTAGAAAATATGATGCTTTTTATTGTAATTGCTTTGAAATTTTATTGATTTTATTGTCTCTTACAGGTATTTTATTTTTAACTTTTATAAGTCCTTAAAATGTATTATATCTTAGACATTCTGTTTATATTAATGTATTGTTATTTGAAATAAATTTGTACTTTGTTATAATAAATGTAAATTGTATTTCTAAATAATAAATGTATTATCATTCTTTGGTATTTGAATAAATAAATAAACAAAGTATGCCTTTTTAATTTTATTCTCAACCTTAAACATCAGTAAAGTACAAAATAGCACAAGTACTGTAAAAAGAAATGTAATATTGTAAAGTTTTGAAAATAACCAGAGCCATCGTGTGTTCAGGAGCTGAACAATTTGAAAAAAAGCTGAAGTTAATTCCGCGCTTTATTTCTGAACTTGGAAAAAGACCCGACGCAACTTATGCTCTCCTAATACAAATGTTGAATTTTATGAAAATTTTCAGTTTTGATCCAAATACGAAGGTTGGTCGAAAAGTAATGGAAAATTCAAAAGGTGCTNTAGTCCTTGTAATTGCACTATTGGCTTTCAGGTAACCGAAGAAGACTGAAGACATCGTATTGTTTGCTTTTTATTGTATTTGCTTTGAAGTTTCATGTCTTTCTTTTACAGGTATTTTGATTTTTACTGCATAAACTGTTATATCTTTTTAATCATAACTTAAGTTGATATTTAAAATGTTTCTAAATTGATTTTTTGGCATAATTGTTAATTAAATGAAATATTTGTTTATTAAAATACATTTGGGTGGATAGGGTGGCTATAAGGGGAGATGCGGAGGCCACAGTAGGTTAGGGGGGCTTTTTTCTCCCTAATCTTGCATTTAAATAATAATGGTGTGACAGTTTATGTAGAGAATATGATGCTTTTTATTGTATTTGCTTTGAAAATTTTTAATTAAATTAAATATTTGTTTATTAAAATTCATTTGGGTGGATAGGGTGGCTATAAGGGGAGATGCGGAGGCCACAGTAGGTTAGGGGGACTTTTTTCTCCCCAATCTTTCATTTAAATAATAATGGTATGACAGTTTATGTAGAGAATATGATGCTTTTTATTGTATTTGCTTTGAAATTTTATTGATTTTATTGTCTCTCTTACAGGTATTTTATTTTTAACTTTTATAAGTCGTTAAAATGTATTATATCTTAGACATT